ATTCCGTGGTGTAAATGTACCACATTTAAAAAAATATGTTTGTATTGATTTTATTTATTTTTTAATATATTTTTATTGATTTTAGAGAGGGGAGAGAGATAGAAACATCAGTGATGAGTGAGAATCATTGATTGGTTGCCTCCTGCATGCCCCCGACCAGGGATTGAGCACCCGGGCCTGTGCTCTTGACTAGAATTGAACCTGGGACCCTTTAGTCTGCAGGCTGATGTTCTATCCACTGAGCCAAACCAGCTAGGGCAATAAGTAAGATTTTGATTAACAATCAAATAAATATTTTAGGAGTTAGAGTATTATTTAACTGAGACCTCACATAGTAACTTGGCTCTCTGTAACATGAATTACATATTGAAAACATGTAGTTTTAGCTATATGTGTAGGTCACATGCCAGAGAAAATCCAAGTGTTTATTGCACAAACTGATCCATATTAAGTGATCTGAGCTGAATGGAAAGACAGAAAAACACTCCTAGGGGATGTTTTAATAGATAAAATTTTTACCACTTACCATTTATGTCAGAAAACAAACTCCCAAATAACCAGGGAACTTGAGAATTTCGTGCCCTAATTAACTGAATAGTCAATTTCTTCGATTAGTACCAAATATACCATCTCTCTCTATATATAAAAGGCTAATATGCTAAGTATCCGACCATCTGACCAGTCACTATGACATGCACTGACCACCAGGGGGCAGACACTCAACGCAGGAGCTGCTGAGCTGCAGTGATTTGGCAGCGGTGGTTCTCGAGTGACACACCCCGAAACCAGAAACGAGGGAGCTTTATTCCTCGCAGGGCCGCGGGATTCCACCTTCAACTGTGGGTTATGTTGTTGCTGGGGCACTGTTGATCCTGAATCTGGTTTACTGTACACTTGCATTTGCGTTCCACACCCTCGTATGACAACAACTTTGCAGAGGGCCCTCTCACACTCCAGGACCACTCGGATAGCAGAGAGCTGGTTTTGGCTTGGTCCCCACAGGGTCAGGCCAAGGGACTCCACCTGCCGGAGGGACCCTGCTCACTCAGCAGACGCTGGAGAGGGACTGAGAGAGGTTGGCTTCAGGGTGTGTCTGGCCAGTCTCACTCAGTACCACCCCACTGGCCACCTTCTAATTAATTTCCTTTCATTGTGAACGAATCCATGCACCAGGTCATTCATGTATATGTAACCAGTTACTTCTTTTCTCTATACAATCTGAATGTACTCAAGTGAATATAAAGCAAAAACTGAGCTTTACCTTAATTTTTCTTTTTTTTTAAATTTTTCCTTTTGTTTCAGAAGAAATTGTTTAGATTTTACAAAATGATTATGTGGTCATAGTTCACTACTGTAGATGAACATAGAATTATGATTCAATTGTAATGATCATGTGACATAGTCTAGAAGATTTGTTTTTTTAATTGAGATTTTATCTTATTTTATTTTTAATATATTTTTATTGATTTCAGGGAGGAAGGAAGAGAGATAGAAATATCAATGATGAGAGAGAATCATTGATCGGCTGCCTCCTAAACACCCCCTACTAGGGATCGAGCCCACAACCACGGCATGTGCCCTTGACTGGAATCAAACCTGGGACCCTTCAGTCTACAGGCCGATGCTCTATCCACTGAGCCAAACCAGCTAGGGCTAGAAGATTTGTTTATAAGTAACGCATATCATTTAAAAAATTTTATTTTAAATAGAAGAAATTCAGTTTATTTTATTCTTTAAAGAGTGTTTGTATTTTCTCCCTGACTCCCATTCTGAAGCCAAGTTCCTGTTGCCAAAGGCATTTTCATCCCTTTCAATCTTAGAAAGCAGACGGCAGGAACAGGGTGTGCCATAGGGCTCAGTCTTTGGACTTCTCTGTCTGCTTATTCTTTGGTCTAGATCAGCCGTGAGCCAACTACGGCCCACGGGCCGGATCCGGCCCGTTCGGCTGTTCTATCCGGCCCGCAGAGCCGAAAGAGCGTAGGGTTCTCTTGCTCTCCCCTCCGCTCCTTCACCAGCAGCAGTGTTAACTTGGCAACATCGGGAAACATGGCCGCAGCTCCTTCTTCTGAGAAAGTTTAAGAACCCATTGTGGCCCTCGAGTCAAAAAGTTTGCCCACCCCTGGCCTAGATGCATAGCTTGAAATGTCCTTTATATAATGATATTCTGTGCCTATAATTTGTAATTGCCTATTTGACATCTCTTTTTAATGTTTAATAGACACCTTAAACTAAACATGTTCAGAACTTAACTCCCGATTTGTCTCCTCATCCCCCAAATCTGCTCCACTGCAATCTTCCCAATATCAGTATGACAGCAATTCCGTCCTTTCATTTGCTTGGGTCAAAATGTTTGAATCATCCTGATTTTCCTCTAATATTGACTTCTTTTCCAGACCCAGTCCTGCATTCCAAATTGCCCCTTGCAATATTAACTTAAACTCAGCAAGTTTGAAATTGAGCTCATCATCTGTCCTACCAAAATTATCTTCTTCATATCTCTATTTCTGTGAGAATCATCACTATATTCCTAGCTCTGTGTTTTCTCAATATCTCATTTGACTTCCATCCTTCTGCTTCCTCATCACCACCCAAATCAACTCTTTGTTTTTTCATCGCTGGTCATTTATTGCTGTAGACCTGGCCTATTGGAGGGGCTCTCAGCCTGATGGCCAGGCCTAGCACCTTCCTCCTCCATCACGGTCTGCATACTGCTGTTGTGTTTCCTTCCTCTGCTGCTGTTGCTAGAATACACCCTTGTCCCCTCCTCTTAAACTTTTTCTGACCATGTTAGCTACACAGTTCCTTTTCTGAACCACTCTAGCACTGTTATCTAAGAAGTAGTGAGGTATATGGAGAGAACTTTGGGCTGTGAGTTTACTGACTGAGCTTCAAGTCCCAGCTATGCCCCTAACCCCTTCTGTGGCCTCAGACAAACCACGGTGCTACCCTGAGTCTCAGTTTCCTTGTAAAATGAGGGAAGTTTGAATAGCTGACTATGTCTGGCTCTAACATTTGTGTATTTATTAATCTGCAGCTCAAATAAAGACCATTTCATATATGAATTACTGATCCTATCCCCGCTCAGTGATCATGTCCCCAGTTCTTTGCAGTTGATCTAAAATGTTACTATAAAATGACTTTCATATGTTGCTTTTACCATATTATTTTTTCCTTTTAACATTCTATTACATTAACCCATCTCATCTTTTTATTATGAATTTTAAGACCTTCATTCCATTATGTTCATGTTTCTCCTTGTGAAGTTGCCTGTTCTCTTTTGGTTTTTATCTTGTTCTTCCACAATAGAGACTATACCTTTTTAGCTACAGCACTCATGTATAAAATTGTTCTGTATTTTCTATTCATTGAGCCATATTTGAGTCTTTACTGGAGGATCTCCTTGTTTTGTTGCTTTTATTCTAATAGAGGTTTGGGTTAACACTTTCTTACCTAAAACATCATTCTAATACTTTGTCTCCTTGAAAAGAAATATTAAAAATAGAAACAGAATAGCCCAGCCAGCGTGGCTCAGTGATTAAGTGTCAACTTATAAACCAGGAGGTCATGGTTTGATTCTGGGTCAGGGCACATGCCTGGGTTGCAGGCTTGAACCCCAATGTGGGTGTATAGGAAGCAGCCTACCAATGATTCTCTCATTGATGTTTCTATCTCTCTTTCACTCTGCCTTCCTCTCTGAAATTAATAAAAATATATTGGGGGAAAAAAACAGAATAACAGATACTTATAAAATTATCCCAAAGCCTGCCAACATAGAATTTTTATAATATTTTTACATATTTTTAAATGTACAATAGACATGCCATTTGACTTCACACCAACACTGGTGTTCTCCAGAGGACCTAGGGTTTGCTCTATCATATATATTTCTGAGTACAATTTACATGCCATCCATGGGGGAATTCTGTGGTGGATTGATGATTTGAGTTATTCATACAAACTTTCTAATAATGTTTTTAGTATGAATATGTGAGGGGCTCCACTTCTAAAGAAATGGACTTGAGCCTTCATTTTTATTTTGAAATAAAAAGTCATAATCTTGTCCAAATTTCTTACTCTTTCCAAAAATTTTTAGAGAGGTTTTTGTCATGGAGGTGCAGCTAGTACAGTTAAGGTCTTTAAGCCATCTTATCAAGGAACACATTAGCAAATAGTCTACACATAGTTTGAGCACTTAGAGCAGAAGTCAGCAAACTCATTGTAGGGCCCATAGAAAATATTTTGGGTTTTGCAGTGTCTTGGTTTGCTTGAGCTGCTATAATAAAATAATAGACAGGTGGCTTACATAATAGAACTTTATTTTCTCATTGTTCTGGGGACTAGCAGACCAAGATAGCT